CCCTTCCACACACAAACCCTCCCCTCTCCACATCCACCACCATCATCCAGCCAAAAATAAACAAACATCGACGCTGGCTGCTCGAGCCTCACACACAGCTCCATGTGCAAAAAATCTGCACATTTCCTTGGCAGGATGTCGTTCTGAATCAACAAGTTGGTGTCATGTTAACGCACAAAAGTCTTTGTAATGTGCTTTTCGTCATATTTCTGTATGGCTGTCTATCATTACCCTGCTGAAAATAGTTCTCCCTATCTCTTGTGATATTCCTATAATATTGTTATATGATATTTGGGACCTGTAATATTTCCTTAAAGACATGAACTATCTTTGTGGAACTAAAATATGAGTTTAATATTTCCTGTGGTGTATTCCTATAGGCGTCTATAGTATTTATGCCCCTGTCTGCCTGTGCGCTCTGATGGCTGGGTTCAAATATTCGTTTTGTGCCCCTTGCTGTAAAACTGAATAATATACTCCTCAGACTGAGGGATTGCTGAAGGTGAAGGTATAAGAAAATAACACCGTTGTTGCCCGAGATTGGATCTGAGCAGAGAAATCAAATACTTGGGGAGGTTTTGTCTCAGAGCTTCCCGAGTGGAGGGCTTTTATCGCAGCAGCATCGTGACTCTCACTCAACACCTGCATGCTCCAGTCATTGTAAATAAAGAGGGTACCATGAAAGATTTAGCCGGAGTAAAAGGATGGAAGGAATGAGCTAACTGCTCGGGCTTAGTAAACACGGAGATGGGAGACTTTCCCCCCTTATTGGAGCTCCGTCATGTGATATGAGCATCTGTCAGTTACACGCTTCACTCCACCTGAGGTTCTCCCAGGGAGGGCTTACACTTGTTTTGTTTGTTTGGTTCACTGTGGCTGCAAGAAGCATCGAAAATACTATGAGAGCAGTATGTATAAAGCTTGAAAGTTGTATGGGCTCAAGTCTGTTTTACTCTGTTTAAAAACGGGCTGTATGTGTGTGGCAGCTTATATTTCAGTTACTAAGTGAATCCAATTATTTCATGCGCCTTTTTTTTTTAGTTGCAGTTATTCAAGAGAGCAAACGTGGCGCATAAAAAGTTGTCTGTAATATGGATCAATAATAAAAATAATAAAAAATCAAATAACTCATAGATCTGGTGGGTTTACGCTCCACGGCATCCTTATCTATCAGGCATGCATTGTTCCATATACCTGTATAAGTTTGGGCCCTTAGAGATTATTATTAGAATTAGATGTATAGTTATACGTTTTAGGAAGGTCAAGATCAAGATTATAAATCTTCAAATTATAATGTTATAATTATAAATGTTTCTACTATTCAGCATACGTATTTCATGAGTAAAGAACGCACACAACATTAACCGTCTACCTGAGGGTCCTAATATGCTTGCGGTAGAAGGAACGGATAGAAGTCCATCTGTGTTTATGCATCAAGGTGAGGTATTGCAAAACAGGTAAAAACTCCGTCTGGGCGATGGAATGTGGAAATACAACTCAGTCTGCCGCTATTAATGAAGGTATGCAGGGGTGAGCTGGATCTGGAGCAGAGACAGCGGCTCAAATTATCTTGTGCGACAAAGGAGCAGGAGTCTCATGAGGTGAACTTAATAGCCCTCTGACAGCGAATACGAATCGATCATATTGCCTGTTGGCATGAGACCTGATCTGCCACTTTTACGCACAACACATTCCCCAGGTGCATGCGTTTGGATATAATGATTAAAATAGTTGTTTTAAATACACCTGCTGCAGAAAAGTGGGTTTTTTTCACAGCATGCTTAAGACTGAGGTCAGAGGGCAGCCGATGCTCCCCTGTAAAGAGTTTCATTGTCAAGAGTGTCGCAATGAATTTCTTATTGCGCATGTGAAGCAAATAGTCTACGCATGTAACCACAAGTAATAAAAAAAACTCACCCAAGTCTGAGGTATATGATGCCAAAACACAGGAACACGTAGAGACTCCGCTTTCGGAGGGGTTTGTGCATGATCGTTACCACTTTGTCCAGAGGCCATGCACTGTAACATAAAGTGGTCACGCTTTCCGTTCACATTGGCAGGTTTCCTAACCCTTCCAGATGCACGTATACCGCCTATTTTCCGCGACATGGAGCTGAAGCGACTTTGAAATCTTCGACCGTGTGAAATCCATGGTCCAGCAGTGTAGGTGAGATGCTGATGGCGACCTGAAAGGTGGATAAGAACTCCAAAATGAAACTTGAGAGAGGGTCGGACTTGAAAGGTGAATGAGTTCTTGGAGGAAGTGCCTCCTATTTGTCCTTACTTTGACGGTGGAGCCTAATTAGCAATTCCCATTTGCTGCGCCTTGCAGGTAGAAAAAAAAAACTAGTTACACTTACTGCAGTGCCCTGTCAACCCTGTGGATTTGGTTTTTGTTTAAAGCTTTTGTGCATCGCTCGCCGTTTTTATTCATCGAAGACATCTTAAACTCTGTCCATGTTACTAACTTACAACGGCCAGGTACTCTAATACAGGTAACAAAAGGGCTACACTCCTCCTCCTCCTCCAGCATGGATATGCAGGGGATGGGACGGGCTTCAAGTCTGAGCTCAACACGTGTAGTTGTTGTACAGAAAACTAAAAGGAAACCAAGCGAAATGGCTTTTTATAGGCCTGTAGCCCAGGCGAGGCTGGTGCTTGTTGCTTGCAACATTGGGCATTGCCCCACCAGTGTGGGCTCCCCGGATGGGCTTCACCACAACAGTAAACCCCATAAAGTCAAACAGACGAGAAATGGCTTTCCAGCTGTAGGAATAAAAATTACCATTGCATGACTAATAATGACTAACAATAATGAACTGGCGTCATGATAAGTATCTGCCAGTGAGGTTCTGTCAGTCACTTTGATTAACAGCGCAATGCATGAACAAAACAACACAAACATCCATGTTGCCATTACTTGGGTTTGAGTCAGGGTGATGTGGATTTTGAGCAGATGTTCAGAATACAGTCAACCCCTTTGGGAGCTGTTATTTGACTAAGTAGACTCCCTCTGGTGGCAGCATACAGTACAGAGATAAACATTTTCACTGTAGTGGAGCTGCTGCATCACAGTCCATTCACAATCAGGAGTGAAATACTGTGGGCGTGCTGCAGACCAGTGCAGAACTGCATTAATGTGTGTGTTACCGCGAAATTACACTAATATAGAGCCTCAGAATAAAATTATATAATGGAATTGTTTCATCCTGACACTAAGGCACCCACTTGACATTTGTTGATGTGTTTTTGTGCCTTGGCTATACATTTAGGTGGAGTTTTCCAGAAAGTTTAAATACTACTTATCACAGTTTTTAAAAAAAATCAAAATTTCACTAAATGTGTAGGGTTAGTGAGGAGGAACTTTAATATTGTGTTAAACACAACTTACACCAACTTACATCAGAAAAGAACAGATTTCCTGCAGCACAACACTCATCTTTATACTTTTCCCCTCTTCCCGACTAGTCTAGGAACCCCGTTCGCTTCTCTACATTTTATGGTCTTTGTTCAATTTCTTAACAGAACACATAAACCATCAATTCAGTATATTTCCAAGAAACTGCATGAAAAATGGCTAACGTGTTGTAATAATGATGGCTTAAACTAAAATTACAGACATGAGCTATCTGAGCACATAGACTGCCAGGCTGTTGTTGACCACGAGAAACAGACAAAACCGCAGAGACCTTTGTTTCAAGACATCCCTGCATTGTGGTTTCAAGGCCTTTTCCTTCAAAACATGCCCATCAAAATTCCAGATGGATTTTAGAAATAATGAAAGTCGACATGCGGGCCCAGGGTGACATAAAAAAGACATGTATTTGATGTCTACCCTGTAACAGATGGCCTTGTTTGTCTTCAAATGTACATAGCTCATCGTCGAGGCCTGGGTGGGGATGGTCCTGTTTAGTTTAATTAAAATGTTCAAAGAGCCAACACTTTTTTATTAAAGCAGGATCAAGACCAGGGACAGTGTGCGTCAGCGTTATTTGTCACCCGCCATTGTCATTACAGACATGTCACACACATCCACGCTCGCTCGTTGTCAACGCACACATTCCTGTGCACGCTAACAAACATTGTCTGTCTCTCTGTGTCCACACATACAGTAAGTATGCATACGGACTCACAAATCAAACTGTAGACACAAGCACTGCGGACACACACAGAGACTCTCACACACACTGTAGCACTTGGGTGGTATGTGGAAGATCTTGTGACACACTGTTTATTTAACTTCAAAAAGCTGAGGCAGGGATGAGAGCATTTGGGTCAGCGAGGACATATCAATCTGAGTAAGTCATACGCCACATCACTACTTGTGCTTTATGCTGCATTACAGGCCATTGTATTTGAAATATTTCCTCTTAGAGTCTCCTGAAAGGCAGTCGCTGTCCTCCTTGCTCCGTACTTACCCTCTTCTCAGTCTGCTCCATTACTTTAATGACTGTCAGGCAAGCTTTTTCAAGATTGCACCATTGTGTATCTGTTCCTTTTCATATGCATGTACTCTTCCCAAAATGTAGAGGGGAAAATGTTGGGAAGAAAGGGGGGAAAAAAGGAGGGGATCGTATTTTGGCAAGCACTGGATAATATGTCGCACTGTCTTTTTGAATATTATTAAGTACTCTTGACCGACAACTAAATAAGAAAACCCACCGGTTGCCCATGTGTTTGCATAGGAGCTGGTTCAGCTGGAAACAGTGAGACGGCTGAAATGGAGACCGTGCCAAACCATGGAGTGGCGTCTGGGGCTGGGTCCACCACATCTACACTGGGCCCCAGGCAAGAGGGGGGAAACGGCTATTATGCACTCGCAAAGTCCCCCTCTCTCCATCTCCATCAGCCATCTCCCTGTAACTCTCTGTTTTTCTTGATCTTAACACTTCCCTCAATTAACCAAGCTCAGATTTAGTTAGAGAACATGTCGCAGTGAAAGGAAGCAGCCCCAGAGGAAGGAAGAGGATTTACAGAGGTACGCTGAGAGAAAGTGACCTTTTAGACCTGAATGTCACATGTCTCCTCGTACATCTAACTGTGGGGTCAGAGGTTAAACCAACTCTACCAGTCCTCCCATCCTGACCAATGGGTTTGACCTTTTCCTCTCTCCTGTTCAGTCACAGCTGTGGATAGGGAAACAGGGTGTGATCTGATTAATTCCTCACCATGTTCACTGATACGCAAGATCCTCATTTGTGTGCATGTGTGTGTGCACACGCATGCGAGCAGATTGGCCAGGCTGGCTCCATGTGTATCCTAGCCTGTTTGTTACCGGCTGATTAGCCCAGGCTGAAATGCTGCACCATGCCCTCTCGATGGAAAGCAGGTTTTCTGTGGCCTGGCCTCACTAGGGTCCGATACCAATTGGGGAGCTTCTATAAAGTTTGAACTGAAACTCAAAGGGAGAGCAGTGTTTTTTCTCATGTTAAAACCTTTAAACACTAATTTGCAATGTTGCTATTTTAAATAGGGCTCGCTTCTTAGCAAGGCTGCTAGCCAAACTGTCATGGGAGTTTTCCTGATCAGGCCAGGGCTCCGAGACAGAACAGGGAGGTGGGATCAATTTACCAAAATCTGACAGTCTGGGACACCACGCCAAAGCTCTAGCCTCTATTCAAGAGCACACTCAGTAAAGTGAATGAAATGGCTTAGAGGAAAGAAAAGAGTCCAGTTTCAAGTTGGAGAGGCCTGAGAATGACAGAGATTAGGATTTGTTGCTACTGTGCCATGTGTCTAGACCTGGCTCTTGAGTATATGAGTGGGACTGTAGTCGGATATTTTCACAGAAGTAATATAATATACACTTAATAATGACTGTATGTGATAGTTCAGCAGGCATAAATGCTGCTAGAACACCACTGGCAATCTTTGCTACATAAGACAATATAATTGTTTTGTTTTTCTGACTTTATGTCTTCTGCTAAAACACTTCTGATTTACAGGCTAATATTTGCTAATGAGCCGAAAGCACAATAAAGTACAATGGGAAAAATGTGTCTGTACAATAAGGATACATTGGTTCCATTTTTTTCAAATATTTCAGACCAAGTACAATTACATACATTTGGATCCTTACCGATACCAAGTACCGATATGAGTACTTAATAATACCTTTACAGCTCTAACAATGACTTTAATTTTCATCAGATGTTCCTCACTTGTGTTAAAGGAGCTACTTTTCACCCCTTCACATGACAGTTCAGCAGAGCATAGTTTGCAGTCTTCTCTACTTTTGTCATCTTTTTTAATCTTTTTTATTATATGGCTTTTTTATTATAATATGTCCAAACTGCTTATCTTAAAGCCGCAGAGATTAAAATAGCATAAAGTGGTACTGGGTGTAGTGGTATCAGAATAGGTTTATGATTACGATTGTGAGTACATGAGCATAGTATCAGACCCAGTACTTGATACTGGTATCCCTGCTGTACACTTCAAAACTTGTTAGTGTATTAAATGTGTTAAAAAAAATAAAAATAAATAAAACATTTGATTCATCTTTGCAGCTTTTCCTTCCCAAATAACAGAAACAACAAACCGGAAAAACAGATTAGTACTTTGACTTTGTGTGGAGGATTGCACTGAAATTGTATTACTTCCAGAGATCACAATATCATCAATGGTTGTACCCACATCAAAACTTTGATATGTAAGAAACTCAAACTTATAGTCCCCTAAATCCCAATGATAAAGTCATATGCAATGTCAATGCTCCCATTTCATCCTCCAATCAGATTTGACTTGCCTGACTGCTCCAAAGAAGTGATTTGTATGCAGGTGCTTGAACTGAAATCAGATGGACAGGAATTGTGACGCAGTTTGCAGATGAGCTTGCCAGTTTTAAGAGCGGGACATCTACAAAGTGTGTTGTGTAAGGGTGCGTTACTGCTGTTTTTAAAGTGTTATGCATACAGCCCAGTTTGACTTAGTAGAACACTAAATGCAGGAACAATGAATTTCATCACTAAAAAACAAAAAACAACAACAAAAAAGACTGATGATATAATAAAAAATACATAAACCACATTCAGTCTCCTTGGTCAGAGAATGGAACACAGGCATTTACATTCACAATAAAATCTGACAGGCATATGGCTTGTGTCTGTACCAAAGGCCCCAGACCTTGTGTGCAGTGGAGCGAA